AAGAAAAAAAGAGATAAAAAGTCCTTGGCTCACAAAAGGAATTATCAATGCTTGCAAAAAGAAAAACAATCTTTATAAACAGTTCATCAAAGTAAAAACAAAAGAAGTGGAACAAAGATACAAAGCATATAGAAATAAATTGACTGATATTATGAGAACGAGTAAATAACTATTATAGAAGAAGATTATATGAAAATAAAAACAATAAAAAAAGAACTTGGGATGTGTTAAATAAATTAATTAAACAAGGATCTTCTGGAACATCATATCCTGAATATTTCATTGATGCAAATGGTGAAAATCACAATATGAGTAACATGGTTGATGGGTTCAATAAATTTTTTATAAATGTTGGCCCTGAACTAGCAGCGGACATCCCTTGTCAAAAAAAAAATATATCACTAATATAAAGTTAAATCCCTTTTCACTGTTCATCTCAGCTACAAATGAGCAAGAAGTAAAAAATATCACATTAAAATGTAAAAGCAATTATCATGACATAAATATGTTTGTAGTTAAACAGGTTATTCTGAATATTGCTAGTCCCTTAACATATGTTTGTAAGTTATCATTTCAGTCCGGTTGTTTTCCCAAAAAAATGAAAATCGCGAAAGTAATACTACTATACAAAAGTAATGACAAACATAGTTTTACCAATTATAGGCCTATTTCTCTACTGCCTCAATTCTCAAAAATTTTAGAAAAACTTTTAAAATCAAGATTAGAAAAATACCTTGAAAAACACCAAATAAAAAATGAGGGTCAGTATGGTTTCAGAACGCAAAGAACCACTTCAATGGCGATAATTGAGGCAGTAGAAGAAATGACTAAAGCACTGGATAGAAATAAATATGCAGTTGGTTTTTTTGTTGATCTCAAAAAGGCCTTCGACACAATCAATCACTCAATGTTATTGGATAAATTGGAAAGATATGGTATTCGAGGGAAAGCTGGTAACTGGTTAAAAAGTTACCTAACGGGTCGGGAACAATATGTTAGCATAGGGCATTACCATTCAGAGAAACTTGGTATTACATGTGGTGTTCCCCAAGGGTCAGTGTTGGGACCAAAAATTTTCAATGTATACATAAATGATATTTTTTATGTTCCTCAAGTACTTAAGCTCATACTGTTCGCAGATGACACTAACATATTTTTCAGTAGCGATGATTATACTGATCTTGTAATGACCGTAAACAGGGAGCTAAAATTAATTTAAAAAAATGGATGGATATAAATAAATTATCATTAAATATAAATAAAACTAAAGCAATGTTTTTTTGGTAATTTAAAATATAATATAGAATTACCAATTAACATTGATGGTGTACCAATTGATAATGTGAGTGAAAACAAATGTTTGGGAGTCGTAATTGATAACAAAATTTCATGGAAACCCCACGTCAGACACATAAAAACCGAAATTTTCAGAAGCCTCGCAGTGTTGAACAAAGTGAAACCATACCTTGATAAAGATGCACTTCGTATTCTGTACTGTACCCTAGTTCTTCCATATTTTACATATTGTGTGGAAGTGTGGGGAAACACATATAAAAATACAACTAATCCATTAGTCACAGTACAGAAACGAGCACTTTGCATTATCCACAAGGCTGGTTATCTAGATCATACTCACAAATTCTTTCTTCAAGCAAAATTACTAAAATTCCAGGATCTGGTTAATTACAATACATCCATAATCTTATACAAAGCCTTTAATAAACTTCTACCTGCAAATTTACAAACTATATTTGAAATTCGAGGAAGGGTTTATAATGTGAGAGGCTTTGTAGAATTCAAATTACCCAGAACTCGAAATACCCGCAAAGGTTTTTGTGTGTCTGTATGTGGTGTGAAAATCTGGAACAGTCTGAGTTTACAACTGAAACAATGCAAAAACATTCATAGATTTTAATTCCTCTACAAACAGTTGGTCTGGTCACGATAATGTCTGTTCTCTTACCACTGCTGGTATGGATAACAAAAAAATAAAAATAAAAAGTAGTGTGTGCGTATGTTTGTTCATATATGTACATGTGTGTGTAGATACATATGTTTGTATGTATATGTATGTGTGCTTGTTACTATGTAATTATTATTGCCTGTTTACCGGTGGTAAGGCAATTTATAATTAATTATTGCTGTATTCAGTTATGAAGGTTCTATTTGTTGTTTGCGAGCTGCTGTTGTGATGTTTGCATGTGTCCGGAGCTGTTGATGGGTTGTTTGGTTTGCTACGATGAGCGTAGCTGCGGGAAGCTTATTGTTTTTTTTAGATGATGAGTGAGTATAGGGGTGGGATTTAATATGTTTTCCTCGTCCCACTCCTTTTCAGGTAACTTTTGTTTCTTGTTTTAGTGCACTTTGATTTATATGTGTATTTTGCTGTGCCTGAAATGAACAAATAAAAGAAAAAAAAAAAAAAAGAAATGGTGGGATTTTATCCGATTCCAGTCCAGATTCAGTTACTGAAAACTACCAGAAACCTCCAGAACCTCAGTCTGACCCAAACACACACACGTTGTCAAGGTAACCAAACTGACTGACAGCTCACAAGAGGCTGCTCTTGGGCAACAATTATTCCCAGACAGCATAACTAACTCATAACAGAACATGTGTACAACAATATAAACTGTAAATAACCCATCTTTCTAGGATTTATCAGATTCAATTTTATGTGGAGCCATTTATCTTTATTTCTGACAGGAACCTCTCCTCTGTCCCGACCACGTTTACAACCTTTGAAACTTGTTTGGTTCTGTTTAACTTTGGTAGCCAGTGTCTTAATCCTGCTGTCAATAAAGTTGTGTTTTGTCTTTTTTTTTCTGGGAGGAATGCAGGAAATCCCCTCATGAGCAATGATTTCAGCAATTATGGAAGAACGTGCGTACGAGAGGCCAAAGCATGTTTCAGGAATCAGGATTTTGGTCGTTGCAATGAACATTCTTGATTTAACTTGTAAAAATACCTGATATTTCAATAAAATAAAAATCACGTCTCAATAGTGAACTGGACTGCAGAAACAACCATTGTAGTGAGGACTGTCCAGATGTTTACACCGGGGAAACTAAACAACAATTACACAAGAGCATAGCACAACCCAGGAGAGCCACCTCTTCAGGTCAGGACTCTGCAGTCCACCTACACCTGAAAGACAAGGGACACATTCTGGACGGAGAAGATAGATGGATTGAGAGAGGAGTAAAAGAAGCTTTCTATGTCAAACATGAAAAACCCACATAGGGGCGGGGCTTAGATTTCACCTTTCCAGTACCTATAATGCAGCTTTGGATCTCATTCCTAAGCAGCTTCAGTCTAGGTCACACCTTCCTGCATCTGATCAACACAATGACTCATCAGGGGATGGAGAGCAGGGGTACTCAGAGTAGTTTCTGCTCATTAAACAACAACAGACAGCTACAGCTGATAAGCTTGACTCTCCCTTATTCCAGTCAGAACTGACAAAGCTCCTCGGATGAGAGGAGAAACGTCTTCAAGAAGCCAAAGAAGTCCAGTTGCCTTCATCTGAAGCCTTTTGGATCACCATGACCTGGATGACTGAGAACCTTCACCAGCATTTATCTGAAGTTGCCAAATAGTGGAGTAACAGCTGATTTGCTACATCTCCACGTGGTAACAAGTGATCTGGTTGGCACTAGCAGCGTCTGTCTCTGCTGTTGAAGGTGTTTTGTTCTTGGAAAAAGCTATTCGACATTTTGGAAAAAAACAGACAATTGAAAAGTACAAACCCTTCCTCATACAGCAGCGGTGCCCAAACCGAACCTCCCCCACTTGCTTCGCTCAGAGTTTGATGGAATGGGTCCTGATCCAATTGCTCGGGGGCCACGCTGGATTGGATGAGTTTTTTCCAGGGCTGTGCGTTTCAGAGGTGTGATAAGATGTTTTGTGTTTTTGATTTGTTACACGAATGACAGTCATACCAGAGCCAGGTAAGAGTGATTAGCTGGGACACGCGCACTACAAATACTAGCTGATACGCATCCAAGCATGACTTTCAAAGAGTTTTCTGTGGTTCTACGTATTTTGTTATCAGACACACACAAAAACACAAAGAGTCACTTAAAAAATCGTGTCACCTGCCTTTCAACAGCTGGAAAAAACAAAAGCTAAAAAGCTTTCTGGGAGGCATCCTGGTTGTTTGGAACAAAGTGTGGCAATTCTCTCAGTCTTACTTTAATTATTAGACTACCCAACATGCCAACGGGCCAGACCTCCCGCTGCCTTCACACGGCACCTCAACGCTCCTCCTCAGCGTATTTCTGTCCACTCTCCTTTTTCTATGTTCACTTGCAGCTGCACAAAGCATTAGGCACCACTTTTATCTCCGTCATTACATGTGTTTGCCAGCTCCATATCTGTTCAACACACACACACACACACGCACGCACACACACACACACACACACACACACACACACACACACAAGCGCGCACGCACGCACGCACGCACACGCTCTGTGGGGCTGTGGTTTTGAGGTAGCTATGACACAATCCAGATTCTTGCTGTCTATAGCAGGAAAATGGGTTTTGTGCTGAACTATTTCCCTCTAAAGTCCAGATTTTCCTTGCCCTGCAGCTTTGATCCACATGGCATGGGGGTGGGTGGGAGGTTGTGTCAACAGTTTTGTGTTTCAGCCGGAGGGCCTGCCGGAGCCCCACAGTGTCGCTCATGGCTCTTTGGCACTGGGGGCTGTTGTACCACTATAAGGTGATCTACTTCTCCAAACATTCCCAGAAGACAAGCGGACGTCTGCAGTAGCACACTAAAACACTCAGCTGAGCCGATCTGATGGAAATGACGTGTGGACGGTGGTGTGTGATTTCAGGGCAGAACGTGATAAAGCTGGTAGAAGGATCCAACTCAACAGCAGGACTGATTTCAGAGACGGAGGAGAAACTCAGTGATGAATCCTGTCCACCTTGGTCCAGCAGACCCATGAAAGGACCATCAGTGCTCGTGAAAGAAGAGTTTTACTTACTGGTAGATGTCTTTCCGCAGCACAGTACGGGTCAGTGGGTTATCGGCCTGAGGAGCCATGCTGAGGGAACCCAGCTTCAGCACCAGGGTGTCTTCTCTCTTCTCACTCAGGTCTACACACACAATAATGACCATTTTAGTAATTAACACATCAAGTGTTCACCACAGCTAATTGATGGCAGCTTTAGATAGAAAGCTTAATATAGATCCACACGTAGAACCGGGGTTGTTCTCAGAAGTCCTGATTTGTGTCAGAACAAAGTCAACATTTCCACCAAGAGAATAAACTAGGATCTTTGTAAAGTCTGCAAGACGAAAGGTCAAAACAAGGTTTATTAAGTACGGTGTGGAAGTGGTGCGTTCACAGGAACAAAACCCTACCAGCAATGAGAAACGTGGCACATTTCCCCCAAAAGCCCAACAACCATTTTCCATAACAGAAGGAGACAAAAACACCTGGTCTAGTTGTTAATAAGGGGAAATGGTGGAAATCCTCGATCATCCTCAACAGCCACAGCTAGAGCCGAACACACAGCTGGTGGTTGGGTGGCGGGTCTGAAAGCATACATGTATGAATGTGCACTTCTACAGAAATATGCAGCTTTATTCTGCTAATTCATGTAGCAATCACTGCATTTTTAGTTTTTGCAAATGTAACTTTCCAACATCAAAGACGATCGAGGGTTGTACACAGAAATGACATTTAGGAGATTTCCTGGAGAATTTCACCTCTTCACTATTTACTTCTAAGTATTTCATTCACGCAGACCGAGGTTGTTTCGATGTTTAGGATGTTCACATTAAGCTTCCTTAAGAAAACCGAGGGAGTGGTTGTGTCACCTGAAGAAGCCTGCTTGTCTTGTGCTCCATGGCAGAAGATCCGGATCACACTGGTGTTGATGTAAATCAGAGGCAGACACCTGGAGGTCAACGTGTGGCTTCGCATTGGCTGACCCGCCGACTTCCCCCGCTCTCTGTAGCGTCGCGGGATGGTGGTCTGGACAAACAAAGCCCAACGTTGATGTAGACGTTTGAGAGACAACCTTAGATGTTACTAAGTGCATCATCATCGATTCCTTTAGCCAGTTCTTGTGGAAACGAGCATTCCTCTTTAAATAGCAGAATTTCCACTTTCTAGATAATCCCAATGACCTAAACAGAAATCTTCTCTGAGAACATCTGGACCACACAGAACCAACTGTATCATTTATTATAATGTCCATCTTTGCTCCCTCTGTACCTGAAACACTCCTGCTACGGTGGCCAGTAGGGGACAAAATAAAACCACATCAAAGGGCTGGGCGGTCAGCAGGATCTCCCTCAGGTACCGCGGTGCACTGTCAGCCAGCGGGTCAGCGCCGACCCTGAGGCTGGCTGCAGGAGCGCCGCCGCGCGACACTCGCTCGGGCCGAGCGGTGAGTTTGTGTCGGACGTTCTTGGTGATGGCCTGTGTGTAGGTGATGGACAGGAAGCCATGCTGCTGGTGAGAACCCTCCAGGACTTTAGCTGCCGTCTGATGTGAGACAGGACAACCATGAGGCCGATGACATCACACAGAAACACCAAACTATCTTGGGCCTGGTTTACTGAATGAGGGTTAAGTCTTTATCTTTCCTTTACACAAGGCCTGATGTCCACCAACAGGTCTGAATGTCTTTGTAAATGTTTTTGCTTAAATGGTTGAAAGGTCAGACTTTTATTTGATGTTTTTTGGAACAAGACTTAACTTCATCCAACAAAGCAGTCCGTTTTCACAAGCACCTCAAACAGCAAGCCAAGCTGAAGCAGCTAGAGCAAATGTGATATTATCTAGCGATTTAGCAAGAATCAGAAAATCAGTCCACTCCATAAATTTCTAAACTTTTGTTCACTTTCTTAAAAAACTAAACAAGCATCAACAGATAAATCATTTGAGAAAGGTAAAAATGCCAATTAACTAAAACAAATGCAACAGAAACAGGTGGAGTGATTTAATCCTTCAGAATAATATCTGTAAAAACATCCAGTAACAGTGGACTTAATAGTATATTGTCATTTCTGAGACATTATTTAAAATGTGGCCCAATCTAAATATGGCTGTAATTTGGTTCATTAAGCCCATCATAAGTCCGGTCCGTGAGCAGTCCACTGCTGGTGGATGTTAGACAGAAGCCAAAAAAATAAAGAGGAGCTGGATTCTTACAGGAGGGAAAAAGCCAGAGAAGTGGCTGAAAGACTCTTGCTTGCTGACGGGTCGAACCAACACCGTGCGTCTGTTCAGCTTGTCAGTGCAAGAGATGAGCACTTCTCGACAGCCGCCCACGCTCCACGCACCCTCCTCCATACTGGAGGGGAGGAGAAGAGAGAACAGGTGGTGAAGGACAGGAGAGGCAAGCTCATGTTGAAGGGACAAAAAAAGGGAAGAAAAACACAGAAGAATTTAACTGGACCAAGAAAATCCCAATCAGAATGAAATGGTCCTTATGTGAAGTTAAAATCAGACAAAGAGGATTATAATTAAAACCAGGAAGCGGAATCAGCTAAAACACTGAGAAATGGTCTCATAGCCTAATTATCAATCAGATCCTAAACAATGAGACTTTAGTTAGAAGGGTTACATTAAAATTATATTTAAAGGTGGTGCAGCCACTGATTTGTGAGTCATTTTGACTGCCATATGGACCACAGTGAGGATAAGAGTTCATCAGAGCAGAGAGGAGCGTCAGCAGTCCCGTCTGGAGCAAAATACCTAATACCTGGGCAAATTTATTGGCTTTAGATGAAGGTGCTAGGTTGGAAACCAAACCTAACTTTCTTTTTTAAATTTTTACTCATTAAAGGTGCTCTGCACTCCTGGTCTCGCAGCCAAACCCAGAGTGTGTTGTTTACTCAGCCCGTCTGTCCAGCAGCGTATGAGACGAGGGTCCTAAACCAGCAGGAGCAGTGGAGACAGCCTTTACAAGCTGCCCTGGGACACAGAGGACAGCGTATACAGGCTGCTATGGGACACACAGGACAGCGTTTACAGGCTGCTCTATGACAAAGAGGAAAGTCTTTAAAGGTTGCTCTGGAACACAGAAGACAGCCTTTAAAGACTGCTCTAGGACATAGAGGACAGTGTTTACAGGCTTCTCTAGAACACAGAAGACAGCCTTTACAAGCTGCTCAGGGACACAGAGGACAGCGTATGCAGGCTGCTCTGGGACACAGAGGACAGCGCTTACAGGCTGCTCTGGGACAAAGAGAAGAGCCTTTAAAGGCTGCTCTAGGACACAGGAGACAGCGTTTACAGGCTGCTCTGGGACACAGAGGTCAGTGATTACAGGCTACTCTGGGGCACAGAGGTCAGGGTTTACAGGCTGCTCTGGGACACAGAGGGCAGTGTTTACATGCTGCTCTGGGACACAGAGGTAAGTGTTTACATGCTGCTCTGGGACACAGAGGTAAGTGTTTACAGGCTACTCTGGGGCACAGAGGTCAGGGTTTACAGGCTGCTCTGGGACACAGAGGGCAGTGTTTACATGCTGCTCTGGGACACAGAGGTAAGTGTTTACAGGCTGCTCTGGGACACAGAGGACAGCATTTACAGGCTGCTCAGGGACACAGAGTAAAGCATTTACAGGCTGCTCTGGGACAGAGATCAGTGTTTACAGGCTGCTCTGGACACAGAGGTCAGCGTTTACACACTGCTCTGGGACACAGAGGGCAGCTCTTACAGGCTGCTCTGGGACACAGACGACAGCGTTTACAGGCTGCTCTGGGACACAGAGGTCAGTGATTACCGGCTGCTCTGGGGCACAGAGGTCAATGTTTACAGGCTGCTCTGGGACACAGAGGGCAGTGTTTACAGGCTGCTCTGGGACACAGAGGTAAGTGTTTACAAGCTGCTCTGGGACACAGAGGTCAGCATTTACAGGCTGCTCTGGAACACAGAAGACAGCCTTTAAAGGCTGCTCTGGGACACAGAGGACAGCATTTACAGGCTGCCCTGGGACACAGAAGACAGAGTATACAGGCTGCTCTGGGACAGAGATCAGTGTTTATAGGCTTCTATTGGACACAGAGGACAGCGTTTACAGGCTGCTCTGGGACACAGAGGTCAGTGCTTACAGGCTGCTCTGGGAAACAGAGGTCAGTGTTTACAGGCTGTGCTGGGCCACAGAGGTCAGTGTTTACTGGCTGCTCTAGGAAACAGAGGTCAGTGTTTACAGGCTGCTCTGGGACACAGAGGTCAGTGTTTACACGCTGCTCTGGGACACAGAGGGCAGCACTTACAGGCTGCTCTGCGACACAGAGGACAGTGTTTACAGGCTGCTCTGGGACACTGAGGTCATTGCTTACAGGCTGCTCTGGAACACAGAGGTCAGTGTTTACAGGCTGCTCTGGGACACAGAGGTCAGTGTTTACAGGCTGCTCTGGGACACAGAGGTCAGTGTTTACAGGCTGCTCTGGACACAGAGGTCAGCGCTTACAGGCTGCTCTGGGACACAGGGGTCAGTGTTTACAGGCTGCTCTGGGAAACAGAGGTCAGTGTTTACAGGCTGCTCTGGGACACAGAGGTCAGTGTTTACAGGCTGCACCGAGGCACAGTGGTCAGTGTTTACAGGCTGCTCTAGGAAACAGAGGTCAGTGTTTACAGGCTGCTCTGGGAAACAGAGGTCAGTGTTTACAGGCTGCTCTGGGACACAGAGGTCAGTGTTTACAGGCTGCTCTAGGAAACAGAGGTCAGTGTTTACAGGCTGCTCTGGGAAACAGAGGTCAGTGTTTACAGGCTGCTCTGGGACACAGAGGTCAGTGTTTACAGGCTGCTCTGGGACACAGAGGTCAGTGTTTACAGGCTGCTCTGGGACACACATTAGCCTCACCACAGCGGTCTCTTTGCATTGTAGAATAAGTCCTTCATAGTCATCAGAGTGGCTTGGCCTAGAGAAACATGCAATACTTAAGATGGGCTTCAGAGCGCTGCTGGGAGGGCAGGTACAGTCACTTAAAGGCAAATAGTCATTTTAATAACTCAATGTTTTTATTAAACGCTGATTTACCTGGAAGCACAAAGTCATGTTAAAATGAACAATCTTTTCATTTCCACGTACATTCCAGTTAGCACACATAAGTGCTGCCAGTCATTTACCAACATCCAGGCTAACCTGCAGATTCAGAACATTTACCCTGTAGTGTAAGGCACTTTGGATGTGCTATACACGTACCAGTCATTACCATTATAACATTCAATGTGAGCTTTTATGGCTTGAATTCAAATGTGTGTCATCATGCCCGAAGGCCTTCTGTCATCACTCAGGTGGATGGCTGCTCTTCACCCATCTACAGATGCTTTAACTAACTCAAACTGAATGTTATTGAGGAGTTTATATCAAATAAACATTTACAGCTAAATGTGTCAGAAAAACCCACGTTTGAACATACAGCTGCAAGGTAAGAACTAAACGAATCAAAAGAAAACACCTAAAACAAAAATGATGTGAACAAGAGCAAAGCCCTGGTGCTAATCCTGAAACCAGGCACGAATCAGAACTAGAGTCGGACCCCACAAAAAGAAACATGAAATGATCACCTCTAAAACAAAAGTCTGGTGAGGATCACAAGCTTGCAGAAAGTGTTACTATGCTCCTCATTAAACAAGTTCTCCTGTCGAGAGGCAACCAGAGAAATCCCCTCATAATTCATCAGGGAACACCAGCTAACCACACAGGCAGGCTGAATGTAGCCCATGTGCTAAATAGGTGGATGCATTCCCTCCCACCCCACTTTGAGACTAAAGATGTTTAAATGTTGCTGTTGGCTTTGAGTGGCACGCACACACACACACACACACACACACACACACACACGCACGCACACACACACACACACACACCAACAGAAGCTGAGACAGGAAACCAGCTGTTTACAAAACCGCTGCTTTAAACTACAAATCTTTTACGGTAGGCCTGTAGAATATCAGGAAACAATCAAATATTGGATTTAGTAAACTGCTACGGCAACAGGACTTGAAATAACTACATATTTCCTACATGTCCTTTCCTCTAACATTAAAATGATTGTTAATAAATCAGATGTGCTAACGTGAACTGTAAGACTCCCATCTGGTCAGCAAGAGGCATTCAAACCACCCAACATCCAATCCAATCCAATCCAATTTTATTTATAAAGCGCATTCACAAGGCATTACAACCAAACAAGGCGCTGTACACTAAAAATGTTGGTTAATTAAACAGGCGTTATATAAACATGTCGAACACAGATAAAAGATAAAAAGGAAATACAACAAAATTCCCAAAAATAACAGCTAAAAATCATTAAGACACAGGGTGAAGTAAAAATAGGAAAAAAACATTTTACAAAGAACCTCAATAATACGGAAGTCGATAATTGTGGAGTCAGTTTATAAACAGTGCAGATGTCAGTGAGGTTCATAATTATGTTGTATAAGCTAGGTTGAAGTAGTGAGTTTTCAGGCGTGATTTAAAAATGCTAGCTGTTGGTGCTAGCCTCACTAGCAGTGGTAATGCGTTCCACAGCTTCGGTGCACAGACAGAGAAAGCCCTCTCTCCACGGCTTTTTAAACGTGCATTGGGAACAGCTGATCATGGCGCTGATCACTCGTCATACTGATACTGTATTGATGGATTACATTTGAATCCATATTATTCAACTCTGACCGGACAGTCGTGTCCCGTTGGAGCTGGCTGAGGACCAAACAGAATCAAACATGGAATGTTATTGATGATGACTCGTCCTCGTCCAGAAGTGGGAAAACAATATCCAACTCCTGGTTTGCCAGGTTCTGTCATGTGAGGGTGCAGAGAACAGGGTGTTCACATCGCGCTCTTTCTTCTTCAGCCACTTTTTCAGATGACGATGACACAGGAGTTAAGTGGTCGCCCCGTAATTGGAAGGTTGCAAGTTCGAACCCCGCTCAGACTGTCGTTGTGTCCTTGGGCAAGGCACGTAACCCACCTTACCTGCTGGTGGTGTTCGGAGGCACAGCAGTACCTGTGTACGGCAGCCCCGCCTCATCAGTGCGCCCCAGGGCAGCTGTGGCTACATCGAAACTCATCATCTCCAGGGTGTGAACGTGTGAATGTCTGATAGCGTTGTAAGGTGCCTTGGGGGGTTCCAGGACTCTAGAAGGCGCCATCTCAAAAACAGGCCACTTGGATCTTTCTGGAAGTCCTCATGTCCTTATGTCCACAAGCAAACGCTGACAATAGTAGATTTGCCAACCTCCACCTTGGTCGGAGGTTTTGTAGGAATCATTTCTGGTGATCCACTTTTGTGAGGACGACGGGCCAAGCTGCAGAAGAAGATGTGTGTGTTGTGGGATACCCGGCTGCGTGTGGACGTGGCCTCAGACTGTGAGCTACTTAAGGTCCAACCCAACCCTCATGGAGTCATCATCAAACCAGGTCTTCACACTGATGCTTAGAAACGCTAAAAACCTTGCTCTTGATAGTTTAGATGCAGCTTTGTGAATCTCATGAGCGCTAGCTAACATACCAGTGGTAAATGAAGCCCGTAGGGATTGAGGTGGCCTTGTTGATGTTCTTGAGTGCTGGATAATACGACCTCTGGATTTTGTAGCTCATTAGTTTAGTTGTATTTGTGTTGTCCCTTAGCCTACTGTTTTAGCACTGGTTTCCTGTGTGCAGCACTTCTACTTTGTCTGTTGTTGTGTTCTGATCTCCTCACCCTCTGTCCTCAGCTATCAGGAGAACAGCTGGAAAAAACCTGCTTCATCTGTGAGGAGAGGGTGACGTGTCTTCTGCTCAGAGCGCATCTGAGGATGGGTTCAGATCCACAGCTACAATGCAACTGCAAACATTTCTACAGCATTTATGCCGAATCTCCCTTTAACCTTTGTTACGTTCATGTCCGTCTCTACATCCCATCCCCCCATTAGCGAGGGTTCCACACTAAACTATTTTTCTTCCCTGTGGATTTTCCTTCCCTGCTCCACCCTTTCTTGACTCCACCCTATTCTGATAAAATCAGGGATTTGCCTCCCATATTTGCTTGGCCTATGTAATGGTCTATTCATTTTCCAGCAGTCACATAACTGAGGTCAGTCGAGACATTTTCTCTGTCAGGCTCGATCTGATCTGACCCTTTGTACACAAATAACCTGGGCTGGCTGATGAAACACCAGCAATTATGTGATCAGAATGATTAATATGGACTCCACTCAGTGAGCAATAGATATTAGAGCGGGCCGGGGGCCCAGAGATCCTCCAGCGTGTCCTGAACAACCATGACTGTAACCTGGCTGGGACCATAGGCCGTCTCTTCCTGCCAGCGCTGCGGCTGGTAAAAGTGCACTCAGACCACGTTAAAGACACGTTACACTGAAATAACTAAGAAATGAGAAAATTGAATAATTATGTACTTAAGCAGGCACAGAGGTCTCCTATAGAGATTAGAGCTGGCACTGACTCACAAGCAATTGGACACACACACACACACACACACACACACACACACACAAACACACCTGTGGAAAAGGAGAGAACGCGATAACGAGCCACATCTACTTGACACTGTCCTGGCTTGAGAACTGCACAGAACATGTGTGGCCTGACACGGTTATGGATGAACCATCAACAGAAAACCAGGGAGGTCTGGTTTAGGGCCAGGACAACAGCAGCTCTGCCTCTCTGACCTGCACCGACATGCCTAGGAACCACCAAAGGTCACTAAAAGCTGGCACGTCACAATCAATAACTATTATCGTGTTAGCTGTGAGAGCTTTGCTTGGTCATGACGGGCGTCAGCTCAGTCAACGGGCCCGCGGAGGTCAAACTCCTCCCTGCTGCCTGGCTCGATATGAGCATGAGATGCTTGGAGAAGAAATAAAATAAAACCAAGGCACATCATCAGCACACAGACCTGAAAAAGACACAAACATGATGTTGGGCTTGACTTAAGCTTCATTATCTTCTCAGACCCAGACAGCGAGAACTGCCTCCTGCTGAGTTTTACTTTTCCTGGAGAACAACCTTTCAGGAGCATCCCTGATGGACAATCAGAGCTGCTCCCCCCCTTAGAGGGGCGGATCAGGGACAAACAAGATGAAATGCAAGAGAAAATGGACTAATAATCACAATATACCTGCTTCTGTAGTGGTCCATGTTGAAGCTGCCGACCTTACATTTGATCTTCGTGTAGACATCCTGGACGTCTACGGAGGCACTCAGGTCTTCCAACTCAGCGATGACACACACTTCTGAAAGAAAAGGAGACATCTCAACCCATCTGCTTCACTCACTCTCCATCGTCATCAAACCATTTCAGGCTGATTAGTGCTGATGTTTACACAACTGCACAGACATCAACACACCTGAGGCTGCCTCACATATCTGCGGTTAATTAGGACGTTTTTCCAGGGTATGAATGCACCCCAACAGTTGTCTCTGTGGTTAAGTAGCGGGGGAGCATGCCCCACATCCCCAACCAAAGGGCATAAAGCCCTAGATGTCTAACAAACATCAACACCATGCGTCAGCATGTTCACTTTGCTAATCTGCCCTGTGGTTTGGGCCGTAGTGTAATCAGGGTAATAAAAGCCACAGGAAGAGGTGGGCGCCTTCATTAACCAGCAGGTAACGGCAGTAGGAAGGCTCGTTTACCTGTCTTTCTTGTAGTCGGGTCAGGAGCAAACAGTTGAACTGTGACCTTTGGTAGCATCCACTGCATCCAGACGCTGACTTTCCCACTGGTTCCTTCAATGTTGCTGGTCTTCTGTTCCAGAGTCACGGTGTCGGTGAATGGACCATCGTCTCCAGCAGGCACGGAGTCTCCCTGGAGGGCAAAGGCTTAATTTGTTTATCGAGAGGAGGTTAGGTGGCAGAACACCGTCGAGTTGGGAAAAACCCAAAAACAAGCAAACGGTGTACACTAGCCAGCATGTTGTAGTTGCTTCCCTGCTCCGACACACCTAATTCAGTTGTTGAATCTGTTCAGTAGCACATAAAACTACACAAGCCTCTTAATCATCACTGAATCAAATCAGGTGCGTTGGAGCAGGGAAACAACAAAAACATACAGGATGGTGGCTCTTTAGGACCAGCAGCCTCTGGATAACACAACCATCATTTATTCCTTTTTAAGCAGAAAAAGTAGTTTTTTTCCCCCAGTGTGACTTTGTGTTTAACAAATAAGGACACGATGGACTTTGTTGTGTTTTTTTACACCTGGGGGCAGATTTGAGACAAAAGATTTTTCAGCGCGTCCCGTTACATAAACCCTCAGCGTTTCTTTCTCCCATGACTTTATATTTGGGAAAAACTACAAATGAGTTAAAGGTTCTGATGCTTGTGTTTCAGACGACCACGTGCCGTCGCTGTGCATGTAGCCATAACAAAGCAACCAACAACAATTCAGTCTTTCATCATGACATCAGTGGTAGCGCTCCATGGGGTGGGGGCTTCAAAACGGCTGTAGGTGTTCAAGAGCAGCAGGGCACACACATCTTGCATCCTGGTAGAGAATGGGATGTGAAAACCGAGGGGGGGGGGGGGGGGGGGGGGGGAGTCTGGGGGCTAAAGTGGAAAAACAAGCAGGATGCGGTGAAAGTCTTCTGTGAGCTCTAAACTCGGTGCCGAGGGTTTGGCACGGCCCTGACAGCACTGGGGACATCTCTTGCTCTCTTCCTGGTAGATCTGTTTTTCTATGTGGCTGACTCGTAAAGTGAAAAGCCTGCAAACAAACACTCTGACCGTCTGCAGCTCTGGCTCTGCAGGGTTTCACTTTTTCCACAGCTTCTCCCATTGCAGTGTGGTAATGGCGGATTGTGTCATGGTTATTGAGCCTGGCTGTGGTTGGTGAGGAGGTTATCAACCATCTCAATTAGAAACCCCACAGCTGCTAGGGCTGATTACAGTGTCCTAAAGAGGATCCAGATGAGGAAACTATGTCCCCTTTCCACAGCCGGGGAGGGAGGAGGGCCCCACACTAATTTGCAAATTTAATTTAATCACACACTTGAGGCTGGCTGAAAGCAGAGCACAATAACAGCGGATGACAATAATATAAATAAATTAAGGATTATACGGATTCAAAAATAGATTGGGAACCACTAGACACTGATGAGAAGCATGTGCTCCACTCACTAGCACTTCACTTTGACAAACCTACAGGAATGGATCAAAAACGGAGACCTGAACTTAAAGGGTGGTATTATCACCAATGTCCCCAAACCCTTCTTGGCTGCATTCATGCATTTTCCAGCCTCAGCTTCAGTTGTTTTCAAATTTAGGTTCCTGCCTGCATCCACAACCAATTAGACCAAGTGTGTCATCAGGCATGGCTCCTCCCCCTGAAGCTAGTCTGTGATCTGGAGCCCACCTCCCCTGGGAGTAGGTCACTAATGCCCACTTTCTCCTACTGAGTAGAGCGGTTGATTTCATGCTGCAGGTGAGAACGGGACACAGAGGGCTGCTCTAAACCTCCACCAGTACCAAGAGTGGAGATTCTGACTACTTACTTCTGCATTGGGGACAAAACTCCGCTGTAGAAACCACGAGCCCTGTCTTCAACGATGCCCGTACTGGCCAGCTCAGGACAGGTGTGTTAGGAGACCGACTCGGTAGCTCAGTGGTTAGAGTAACTGACTGGTATGCTGTTTTAAACCCGTTTGAGTCCCGGTCTCAGGTATGATGTTTTTAACCCTTTATTATTTAACCTGCCTAAAATCTAAGGACTGACCTGTTTCTAACCTTGTTAACTTAGCCAGTGTGAGTCCAAGTGAGGTGAGCAGAGCCTAACCGTAACCCTAACTAAATGCTGCGTGGAAACGACTCAATTCAAAGATCTTTATCAGAAAATAACAATAAAACTAAAATATGAACAAATGATATCTGCTTCAGCTGGCTACATAAATTACTGCATAAATCTGGTTCCATTACCATAATATGTCTAATACTAGAGCCTTTCCCTATGAGTGTTTATCCCCCACACTGTCTAGATGTGTGTGTATGACTGTGTACGCTTGTTTCTGCACAAGTGTGTGTGTGTACTTGTACAGCTATCCTACTTAGGGCCATAAATGGCATTTTCACTAATCTTCTGAAGACCGATGGTCCGTGTTAAGACCAAAACCCAGTCCTAATGCGTGGACTCCCTGTTTTAGGCTTAGGGGTGAGGTTTACACATAAGATGTGAATTGAGTTGTTGTTGCAGTTAAGTTTAGGAACACACTAGGGGGTGTGTATTGGTGAGACTCTGGCGATACGATACGTATCAGGATACAGGGGAGATGATACGATATATTGCGATACATTCAGCCAGACGTTAGCTTTTTTTAGAATTAAAATTTTGTAGAAAATTTTAAAAAACTATCCAAACTGACACGTAACATGTTTAACATGAGTTATCTGAACCATAATAGAGGGATTTACATTTCAGTGGTGGAAATAAAACCCATTGCTCACTGCTGCTAATTAGTGGTCGGCGTTTGAATTGCACCAAAAGAAAATAAAATAAAATACCCAAATGTTGGCATGTAAATTCTTCCAAAAAATCATTACAAGGCTTTTGAATATCGATTATAATATTTGTAATGAATAAAAATGGTCAATTTCCACCATCGAATTGACACAGCATAACCTTTCATGCACTCCGGAACTGCTGGGTCAGGGTTACACCAGCTGGAGGATCCAGACCCACAAATCAACCTTTTTCTCACTCATTGTTCTTCAACGCAGACATAAACTGTCAAGGTTTCACCAGATGCAAAAGCCTTATCTCTCTTTGCTTAAAGTCAGATGGCTGGATTCGTTACTCTGAATAAAAGTGAACCAACACGAATTTTACAACTCATAAGTTAAATAATCATATGGTTGAATGAACAAGATGTTTAAATGAAATGTTTGAATAATCTGTGCTTAAATCAATGAATTTGAAATGAATATTGTTCTTACAATGATCCATTTATATAACAAATCAGTATGTGTTTGATTTAACAAGTTAACCATTATCTACACTCATACACATCTTCATAAGATACAAATTAAGGTTAAGGTTCACCTCACATACAGTAAGTCTTTTAAACCATCCTCATTCACAGTGTAAAGAATCTTGTATCTGAAGGAAGGCGTGGCTTTCTGAGGAATGTTTTGGTAAAGCCTTCCAGACATGGCACACACTGATTTGCCAGAATGGCCAGAAATCATAACAAAGTAGTTTGATAAAACAAGAATTACTTCCCGAGTAATTCAGTTTGTAGCGGAGTTCCGAACTGGCCAATTCGGGACCAGCATCCTTGATACATTCAGTTAAAACCTGTTTGCACACTGCAAGCAGACACAGCCAGACGGCTCCCTAAGAACCACACCACTTTGGACACAAACAAGCATTCCAGCTACTGTTGTGACCTGGAGACTTCTCAAGACTGGACAGTCGTATCGGAGCTAATCTACAAAATCCTGGTGCCGTGAGGTCCACCCAACTTCTGGCAGTCCGGATCTGCTGGGGGTCTCCGCCAGGGTTTGTAGACACAACAGATTGCGTCTGATGCTGGTTTTTTTTTATTAATCAACTCTCTAGTTTATAGCAGACAACAAATTCTTTTACACCCAGATTTCACAATTTCTTTCAGAAACAAAGATTCTGATAAACATCTAGCTTACATCACACCACCTACATATCACATACCATCACTGCATATCCACTCCATCACATCTCATTATTCAAATCTTGTCCTGTATAATCATTAGTTTAGAAAAAAATAAAATTCCTTTTTAACTATATACTTGACTCTGTCTGGATTAATACAAAGTGTGTTTATGGTCCCTGAACAAGTAAAAGTAACTATAGTCTTCTGATTAAACATTCAAAGATCAATCAGATTGATATTTCATATTTCTATGGAATCATCACATCTTATTAGTCATAATTAATTTGCAGTCGTCACGCTATAAAGTGTGGCCGCTGCATATTGCAGGAAGAGGTTTCACAACATATTGACACATTTTCTTACATCCCTAGAATACTTAGGCATAAATACAGTTACTAAAATGAATGGAAGTCAATACAAAGTCGTAATGTGGATAGAAATACAAGATTGTATGTGTGTGTTTGTTTCTGTGCATGTGTGTGTGTGTGGGTGCGCGCGTGTGTGTTTGTTTCTGTGCATGTGTGTGTGTGTGTGTGTGGTTATGGTTAGGCCTGTGTGGTTCTGGTCAGTCGTTAGGATTAGACTCTATGTCGTGTAGAAACAGGAGCCAGCCGCTGGCGTTGTGGGGAGTTCAGACCACAGCGAGCTCCTGCGTGGTGACGCCGAGCATCGGCCCTCCAACAGCTCTAGTTTCCTCATCCAGAGCAGCTGCAGTCACTTTCAGGCTCATTTCCATTAAAACTGATTTTATGAGGGTCAAAGGAAAGAGAATTGATGGGTTTCTGAAGACCAATTAGGTATTTCTGTTGTGTCTGAAAAGCACAACAGAGGAAATGATAACCACGAACTGACCTTGGACATATAAGATTGGGGTACTTTGATCAATAAAACAATAAAAACAAGACAGATGAGTAGTTTAAATATCCAGGGACAAACAACAGGGTAGTTTAGAGGAAACAAATAAGAGCTCTGCGACGTTAAGAACAAAAATGCCTTGAAGTGATGGCAATGAGCGTTTGATGGATGTGGGACGTGTCAGGTCCGTAAGCTGCCCCATTGGAGCCCCAATCACACACACTCTAAGAAAGAAATATTTTCCCACACCTCCACACGCCAAGTTGTAAAGTATACAGTTTAATTCCTGGGCCCCTGTGTTATAAACGGGCCGAGGATCCAGGTTTATTTTCTCTGCAGAGTTTGTCTTTCCTCATCAGAGAGACTCAAACACTGGAAGACAACAGCAGGCTGGGAGGTGTCAAAGGAAGATGGAGGAAAAGGCTGACCTTGGAAGAAAGGATGTAAAGAGAAAACAAAACGGTAGGGGAGGTTCAAATAGCATGGCGGAGTGGAAGAAAGAAGAAAACTAGACCGAGCACAATGTGAACCTGACTTTTAACACGGTGTGTCGTAAATCCGGCTGAAGTTTTGATTCTGAACATCAAAAGTGCAGCTTGTAAGAATGAATGACATCATGTGGTCAAACTTGGATACTGCAGTCTTTGTCACCGCCGTTCCGGGACTTTCAGGCTGCTACCGGCTCGGATCAGCACCAGACGATTCTAGCTAACAAGCAAAGACAAGTCAGAACCAGATCAGTAGATAAATAAATGGTCATATCCAGTGTTAGCATTGTTAGCTCAACATTAGCCTGTAGCCTGCTAAAACAAGAAGATGCCGTGGCATCTTAGAGCAGCTCAATTCTGGCAAAAATACCACACCCTAACCCTGAGTATTTAGATTGAAATTGAGATCTCGATGATTTTAAATGAATGTTGACTTCATTTATGTATTTTTCTGTCATAAACATGCACAGGGCTCAATCAGAAGGAACAGGATAAAACAACCTCTGGTTCCTAGTATAAGAGAGCCAATACACTTGCTCATAGTTTATGACCCAAAGGGTAGCCTACCCAACTGACCCAATTTGATAAAAACATCATGCAAATACTGACGGCAAAAGAGTTTGATACAGTTCAATTATAATATAAAATAATTAGAACCATAGAAACTTCCATGTTCCACAACCTGCTGCATGATAATGATTTAGTCCTGTCCTGTGGTGCTGGAGTGTGTACAGTACAGAGCGTCGCTCAGACAGATGAATGATTGTTATTCATCAGCATGAGGAACTTGTTTGATTCAACATGAAGCAGAGAGCAACAAGAAACTAACTCTGTACTAACGTTGGACGATTAGAGCCTGTTGGACGAACGTCTCCAGATCTCCTCACCCCCCTACACATTTCTCCCCAGCAGTGGTTACAGGTCCCATCAGTTATTGCCCTGGGCCCTTTGTGCCACCCCTCTTGCTGCTTTTACAGCGATTGGAGGGGCGCTCGATTTGCAACTCGGTGTAAACAACAAGGGAGGAGTAAATAATCGGCTCGCTTGTTTTTAAACCACAGATCATAAATGTGATTACAAACAAACTATTTGAGCAGCCCTACTTCTGGGTCGCTCCTGTTTACTGGCTTCGGTTCTTTAAACAGCTCTGGAGCTTTTAGCCTGCTGTTGACGCTGCAGCTCGGCAGAAACTCGGCAACCACACAAACTCTCAAGTTGTAAACATTATCTACGCCCCTCTTTAGTCTTTTGGAAAGGAGAAAGTGACACCTCTATCCAGATGCATTTCAGTATGACCGTCCTCCTTACATGGTGGGACCTTAGACTGATCGCTGTAGAATTATTGCATATTGCTCCTTTAATGACTCTGGAAGGGTGCTGTCTGGTTTTCCTCTAGTCCCAGGTTGGTGTTGTTCAGGATGACTGCTACTAAATAACCTCAAATGCTGTGAGAATACAATAAAAAGATAAACGGTGGACTTTCACATCAGCGGCCAGAGCAGCGGGGCCGATGAACCGCTCTGGGTTACCTGGCTGGACAACAATCCTAAACATTACAAGAGGATGACTAAACAGAAGAATGCAGATTTAAAAGTCCTTCAGGTGTTTTAATGGATGGTTGGACGATCGAGCCAAACTTTTAATCTGAATGTTCAGCTTGTTGATGAGCCGGGTGTGTGAGGCTGCTGCAGCTTCTACAGCCTTGCTCAATCCCTCAGCCTCCCAGAGCACTAAACACTTGCACCAGTGTTTGTACTCGTGTAAACAGTGACAAGTGGGCCGCTGCAGCCCTCCTACTGGCTCTGCGACGCCGCAGGTCCTGGAAGAGTGAAGGACTAGCAGGTCTCTGTGTCACACGTATTCCACTGCTTGTTCGCATTATTATCATTGTCTTTAACAGTTGTCGATGTACCAGTACATGTACGAAAGACGATGTGATTTTTAATGACCACACGGCTCTTGATCCTGTAGCTTCTTTGGTTCAAGTGGAAAATGTAAACACAGGTTATCGTTTTACCCAAAGTAAGAATGGGGTTAGCATTCACTCGAGCTCCAGCTTAAAGAGATCACGCAGCCCCCTCCTCTGCTCTGGCTAAGATGTCACGTAGAAAACACAAAGACTTTCCAGCTTTGAATACGATTCTTAAACAGAACAGATGTGTTAGGCCTGACTCAACTACTCATAACAATAAATCAATGTTTACACTTACAATCATAAATCAGCCCAAGAAAGGGCTTCCATATCCTGTTTCTGCATGACTCACGGTACAGTTACTGGCTGGCAGGAGTGGCTTCGTACGGTTCTCACTGGAGTTTTGTTGCACAACATCAAAGGCAGGAAACCAAGATTCAGTGAAAAGTGAGAATCAGAATCAGAAGAATTTCAGAATCAGAATCAGAATCAGAAGAATTTTATTGCCAGCGCTCCTTTCAGAGCGTAGGAACTTGACTCCACAGTACAACCTGACCAAGGTTACACACACACACACATAGACAAGACAGATACAGGCAGACCATGAGAGCAGCCATAACGGCGCTCCTGTGTAGATGAGTAAGGGAATACATGAGGAAAGTTCAGGGGAGGGAGAAAAAAAGGCATTAACAGAGTTACACCAGCAGGGTGTAGCGCTCCAATGAAAAAAAAACACCCGACATGTAAGCAACAAACGTCACAGTTCACAACATGAGCATTTGTCTGCATTCCTTCCAGCGTGGGGTTTTTGCATGCAACTCCAAGGCTGCTTATGGCGTCAGATTCGATAACAGAAACTTTGTTTGGGTCAGACAGAGATTATTTTTCCTCTCTGCCTTGAGTCTGTATTGATCATTCAAGTCCTCCAGTGAAGCCAATTCAGTGATTAAACACCTCCACACCGTCCGGTGACCCTTTCCGAGATGTTATCAATCCTGCGCGCTAACACTGGTAACGCAGCCAAGACATTGTCCAGCTTGCGATTCACCTCGAGCAACGTCCCAGTCTGTGAGGTATCCACACGGACGGTGCTGTCCATGGATGCGGGTCGCCCTCCAATCGCTCCCGTCATCCCAATTTTACGGAAAGCCAGATATCCTCCCACTCCAATCAGAAGAAATCCAACGATCATCAGGCCAAATAACCACATATCTTCGACGTCCTCAATGGACAGCTGAGAGAGACAGATGACATTCCACTTTTTCCAGGAATCGAACATGTATCCCGCTGCATGTGTCCCCTGAGGACAAGCGTGAGCCCCCTCCTCTGTCCTCATTGTAGAAAAAATCTTATCAATCGCGTTGAATGACCAATTAATTAAGTCCATATTGAAAAATAAAAAGGTGATTGCAGAGGAAATGCAGAGAAGCGCTCTGTAGGCAGACGGGACAAAAAGAGCCTTGGGAAAACACAGATAAGGGAGGAGGAAAGGCAGAAGCGTCTGCTCCCTGTGAGCGCCAGAGAAGATAGTTTAAACTGGATGGATAGCGGGCTTTGTAAACAGGAGGACATCAATAGTAGCAGGACACCAAGCACACATTTAACAAAAAGAAACGCTCAGTCACTTTGATTCAGGTCCATCATCATGTCCTGTCTGATACCATCAGAGCATCATTGATTACTTCACTCATGATGATTTTCATCCCAGAACACTGGCCTACAAACTTATGGAAGAAAGAACAAACCTCTGTGGGTGAGCCAAAATCTGCAGAAGGGCTGCAGGTGCTGGTGTCGGGCAGGGCGGTGCCAGCGCTGCTGCGCACTGGGGAGGAGGGTGCTGCACCAGCAGGGGGGTCTGGGAGGCTGGAGGTCTGACGTAAGATGCCATGTCTCTGGAGAAGCGTCCATGTGGAGATCCAGCTGAGGAAGAGCTCGTACAAAAGCTGAACCTGGAAACAGAGAGATGTAAGGTCCAGAGCTGCCTCCCGCCCAGCAGCTTCTGTATGAGTGACGGTTTCATATGGAACCAACTCCAGTCGCTGTGTTAGAAATCTAGAGACTGTGTGTGCAAACGCTGAAAGGGTCAAATCGCCCTTCCCGAGTCCTCCACTCATCACACACTCACATATTCAGCACCAGAACACCACTGGTGTGAGAGGTTCTCCGCTAGCATCAGAGAAGGAGAAACAGCCGGCTGCTACCACTTCAGCTTTAGGGTTACCCTAACCTTAACCCAAACTCTTTCCCACTAAGAAAAAGTCCGTTTGAAGTCACAGAACAGAAGCTGGCTGGTGTTTAGCGTGGCCTCGTTTACTCTGGTAATGTGGGTTTCTGGTTCTGGGAAGATGCCAGACAGTAGGGATGTGACCGTGTTTGTGTTTAAAAGCTAGCTTGTTGTGCAGATTTGCTGTTTTCCATAAACTAGCTCTCATACAGGTGGTAAATGTCATCAGGACAAGTGAAGAGAACATCTGAAGGACAACAATACCCTCCAAGGCCTCTTGTCTGCATATCTGGACATCTTCTAAGCTGCAGTAGTAGAAACTGGACAAAGCTGCAGAGACCAGACAGCATCTGGCAGGTGTTCAGGGTCACTTGTAAAGATGGATTCATGTGAAGGTTTTCGTCCCTCTGAAAGTGTCTGTGTTCCCAAGTCTGTATTTTAGTGACCAATTCATGTTTTCATGAGAAGACACAAATAATTCCATCTACATGGATCCATGTAACAGGATCAGACACGCTAAGCAACACACAGAATGTGGCTCCAGTTCTTTATCGTTCCCCCAACAGTTAGAGCAGGAACCGAGGACCGTTGCATTAATCTAGTTGTAATGTGAGTAGCAGGAACGGAGCTTTTGTTATTAAAGTGTGTGCTACGGCATGTTTGGGATCAAAATAAGTGTGTGTGTGTGTGTGTGTGTGTGTGGAGGGGGGGTGTTATTAAAACAAAACAACATTCACTTGAGAGACTGACCACCCCAGTTTCTAAAAATACACAATGGAATACCTAGTAATGGAAAATCTGGTGTAATGTCACAAAAATGCAGTTTTAGGCATTTAGGAGGTTAAGAAGCCAAATGTTTTGGCCTCTTTCCTAAAGCTAATTACACGAGTGTCTCAAATCTGCTGTGATAGCGTAATTATCTAAATGATTTTTAAACCCATGACTCTTGTGCTGATTAAAGAAAGTATGCTCCACCTCTGCAGCGCTCCCAAAAACCTTGGAATTATGATGTTTCTGGTTCTGTGTGATGCCAGCTATCAAGCATTCATGAATGATTTCTTAAGACCAAAAGGAACCTTCATTAGAGTAAAACCTAGTTGTTGCTGCTCGGCGTGCAGCTGACCTGAGGGTTGGAGCACTTGGCGCGGGCGGCTGTTAGGTCAACATGGAGGCAGACTACAAACGAGTGCCTCCCTTCAGCACTGCCCTGCAGCTTGGATGTGACAGCCAGGGTGGAGGTGCACCCCATCGGCTCCAGAAGGCTCAGGCTTCGCTGCCGTCCTAACAGCGTGTACACGCTGAACTGACTCAGGCTGATCGTCCATGGGAAGGCATCACCTGGTGGACAGACAGGAGCGAGGACAGTGATATTAGAGTAAATCATCAGGAATTGTAGTGAAACTAGCCGGTGGTACATCAGAGTACAGCGGTCTCAGGCACGTCAGACAACATTCCTCAGTCTTCCCTAAAGTGAAAAACTAAAGGAAAAGCCAAACGAAGTGATGTTTTTATCGCTTTAATTATATCCTGGGATCAAACTACTGAAACGGGAAAAGGGGCAGAATTTCATTTCACTGTTCAAGTTCAGGTGGACAGGTGCCGTGGTAAAACAGGTTTCCCTGAACGACCGTGTCCTCCAGGACACTGAGCAGGAACCGCAACGCCAGTCCATCGCACCTGGATTCACCTGCTGCTGCAGGAACGAGTCACGCTCCGACTCAGAGACCACGTAAAGGAGTTGGAGCGTGACTCGTTCTGCTGCTGCAGGAACGAGTTCCATCATTTATATTTTTTAGAGTCGAAGGTAGAGGAGCCACAACCATTTAAGTGTTGCTTGTGTCAGCTTTAATGAGCCAGAGACAATTAGTAGTACTCGAGTACACGAGTAGCAGAGGCTCAAAGTCTGCATGGTGTCCAACAGGCCTTGAGGATGGTGACCAGAGACCATAACTGCTATCAAACCACTCACTTTCATTCCTAGTAAACTACATAGATCATTGACTGTCAGACTGATGGCAGGTTAGTTTCCAACATTCCCAGTTTTAGGCTCGGATGTGCACTTGTTGTTTCTATCTCCAAGTTGTTCAAATCAGAGGTCAGCCTACCTTCCTCCAACACTGGCTTTGACACAACGAAGGGCAGCTCCTGCAGAGGCTCCATGTATTTGTGCCCGGCACTAAGAACACTGATGTGAGGCAGACAGACCACCAGTGTTCCAGGCATGGAGGCCTGGTTGTGGTACCAGCTCCGCACGGTGCCGGGTATGTCTCCACAGATGATGGTGCTCGGAGACGGGAGGCTGTCATTAGGCAGGAACAGGCAGCAGGACTGCAGCTCCAGCTGGAAGAGAGGAGGACTTGTGAAATCACAGTCCTCAAATGATCTTTTCATCGGTTATTTCAGTGACCTGTTCACCGATCAGGTCCATCTACAGTCAGGTCCATAAATATTGGGACATCGACACAATGCTAACTTTTTTGCTCTATACACCACCACAATGGATATCAAATGAAATGAACAAGATGTGCTTTAACTGCAGACTGTCAGCCTTTATTTGAAGAAGAAGAAGAAGAAAATATCTTTTCTATAGCGCCTCTCAAGATAAAAATCACGAGGCGCTTCACAAAAACAAAAAATGTAAAAATATAAAAAAGAATCTAGAAAATGGTTAAAAATATATTTAAAATGAGCAAAAATAGACAATTGTGATTAAAAAATGTTAAGAAAGAGAGAGAGTGAATAGGAAAGGGGGAAATCAGTGGATCCTGAGGAAGGTGGAATAGGTGGGGAGAGCAGAATAAAGAGAGAGTGGTGAAGAAGGTCATACAAAAGCCAGCTTGAACAAGTGAGTCTTCAGCTGCTTTTTAAAGGAGACCACTGAGTCCACCGATCTCAGGCTCAGGGGGAGAGAGTTCCAGAGTCTGGGGGCCACAGCAGCAAATGATCTGTCACCTTTGACCTTTAGCCTGGTGCTGCACAACCAGTAGGCTTTGATCACTGGACCTCAAGGACCTGCTGGGAGTGTAGGGACTAAGAAGATCACCAATGTAAGATGGTGCTTGTCCATGTAAGGCCCTATAGACCAGAACCAGGATCTTGAAATGAACCCTGAAGTTGACTGGCAGCCAGTGAAGCTGGAGGAGAAGCGGGGTGATGTGGGTGTGTTTGGAGGACTTGGTCAGAAGCCGAGCACAGGCATTCTGAACCACCTGTAGACGATTCAGGGAGGTTCTGCTCAGACACGTGAAAAGAGAGTTCCAGAGTCTGGGACCACAGCAGCAAATGATCTGTCACCTTTGGTCTTTAGCCTGGTGTGCTGCACAACCAGTAGGCTTTGATCACTGGACCTCAGGGACCTGCTGGGGGTGTAGGGATTAAGAAGATCACCAATGTAAGGCCCTATAGACCAGAACCAGGATCTTGAAATAAACCCTGAAGTTGACTGGCAGGGTTTTTATATTTACTTTTTTTGAGGTATTTACATCCAAATCAGGTGAACGGTGTAGGAATTACAACAGTTTGCATACGTGCCTCCCACTTGTTAAGGGACCAAAAGTAATGGGACAGAATAAGAACCATAAATCAAACTTATACATTTCATTACTTGGTTGCAAATCCTTTACAGTCAATTACAGCCTGAAGTCTGGAACACATAGACATCACCAGACGTTGGGTTTCATCCCTGGTGATGCTCTGCCAGGCCTCTACTGCAACAGTCTTCAGTTCCTGCTTGTTCCTGGGGTGTTTTCCCTTCAGTTTTTTCTTCAGCAAGTGAAATGCATGCTCAAACGGATTCAGGTCAGGTGACTGACTTGGCCATTGCAAAACAGTCCATTTCTTTCCCTTCAAAAACTCTTTGGTTGCTTTAGCAGTATGCTTTGGGTCATTGTCCATCTGCACTGTGAAGCGCCGTCCAATGAGTTCTGAGGCATTTGGCTGAATATGAGCAGATAATATTGCCCGAAACACTTCAGAATTCATCGTGCTGCTTTTGTCAGCAGTCACGTCATCAATAAATACAAGAGAACCAGTTCCACTGGCAGCCATACATGCCCACACCATGACACTTCCCGCACCATGCTTCACTGATGAGGTGGTATGCTTAGGAACATGAGCAGTTCCTTTCAGTCTCCATAATCTTCTCTTCCCATCACTCATCTGTCCATAGGATGTTGTTCCAGAACTGTGAAGGCTTCTTTAGATGTTGTTCAGCAAACTCTAATTTGGCCTTCCTGTTTTTACAAATAATTTTTTTTTTTAAATCCTGCCATGTGAATTCATGGATTTTTTTTCACATTCTGTCTCTCACAGTTGAAGTGTACCTATGATGTAAATTACTGACCTCTGTCATCATTTTAAGTGGGAGAATTTGCACAATCGGTGGCTGACTAAATACTTTTTTGCCCCACTGTACCTCCTGGAGAGTGTTCTTGATCTGGCCAACTGTTGAGAAGGGTGTTTTCTTCACCAGGGAAAGGATTCTTCGGTCATCCACCACAGTTGTTTTCCGTGGTCTTCCAGGTCTTTTGGTGTTGCTGAGCTCAATGGTGTGTTCCAAACTGTTGTTTTGGCCACGCCTAATGTTTTTGCTATCTCTCCGATAGGTTTCTTTTGTTTTTTCAGCCTAATGACGGCTTGCTTCACTGATAGTGACAGCTCTTTGGATCTCATCATGACAGTTGACAGCAACAGATTCCAAATGCAAATAGCACACATGAAATGAACTCTGGACTTTTTATCTGCTCATTGTAATTGGGATAATGAGGGAATAACACACACCTGACCATGGAACAGCCGAGAGGCCAATTGTCCCATTACTTTTGGTCCCTTAACAAGTGGGAGGCACATATGCAAACTGTATTAATTCCTACACCGTTCACCTGATTTAGATGTAAATACCCTCAAATAAAGGCTGACAGTCTGCAGTTAAAGCACATCTTGTTTGTTTCATTTGATATCCATTATGGTGGTGTATAGAGCCAAAAATGTTAGCATTGTGTCGATGTCCCAATATTTATGGACCTGACTGTATAAATAACAACAATAAAACAGTGTTTAACTGACTCGGTCATCTGTTCACCTCACATTTAGACACACTGGATCTAACTCTAAATACTCAGACTAGTTGTGTGGGTGTTTTATTCAGTCCTGCCCTGTGAGGAAGACATCAAAACGGTTAAAAGCTAAATCTGACACTTCCAATGCCAACGAGAATCTCCTCGTTAGGAAACACAACCCGTTTTACAACTTAAGGGACTAAATCTTGAAATAAAAGGATTTTTTGTGTCTTTAGGAGAAGTGGAGAGCCAGCCCAGCTGCTCTAAGTCGCTCATATTTCTACTCACTGGAGAAGAAAGTTTCCTTTTACAAGCATTAAGGTCGGGAACCAGTAGCCACTTGGTGGTTTACTTCCCTGAGCCTCAGCGCTGATTGGTCCTTCTACATTATACCTAGTCTCACTGATGTCAAATACCAATTCACATAAAGACCTGCTGCTGCCAAGGGCCAGACAGCAGGTGTGTGTGTGTGTGTGTGTGTGTGTGTGAGAGAGAGAGAGTGAGAGAGACATTTTATGGACACCAAAAGTAAAAAAATAAGTGTCAATTACAGAGGAGGTAAGTTTACAACAGTAATTAAACGGTGACACACACACACACACACACACACACACACACACACACACACACACACACACACACACACACACACACACACACACACACACACACACACACACACCCCTAACCGGACAGGTTGTAGGGGCTAAAACGGACTGTTTCAGGTCTGCATGACTCTGAGGGCAGACGGGTGTTCGTAAGCTCCTGCAGGAGGTGCTGCTCCATGATCTCAAATAAGAATGAAAAGGAGAAGCTCAGATTCAGACGGGTTTGTCTTCATCACTAACTTCCTGTAATCAAAATGAACTGCAGTTAAAATGTGTTCCTGATGAATGACTTGGTCAACCAGCATGGTCAGGAGGTTTCACCAGGAGAAGTATTCAAACCAACAGTAGCTGACCTATTAGTCACCTACCACCATTCATCACTTTCAGAGTCAGGCTTGCTAATATCTGATGAATTTATGAACAGCTCCAACAAATCCCCCAGTATAATTCTTAAACGTGACGTGTTCCCACATACCACATCTATTTTACATTGTTACACCCAACACACGGGTCAGCATAACAACCCACTAACCCTAACCTCCCTGAGCCTGGTCTAAACTCCACAGCCTACATGAGCATGTAGTTAAAGTTTAGCTAGCTCCAAGGTTGGTGTGTGTGTGTGTGTGTGTGTGTGTGTGTGTAAACTATGATTGTTTTAACATAATTTAAAAAGAATGTGAAGCCTATTTTAAACCTGACCTTTTCACGCCTGGGAGAGGAAACTGTTCTTTTACGTAGGGACAGCAGTAGCTCAGGCGGGTGGTCCAGTAATCAGAAGGTTCAATCCCAACTCCCACCAGAGAATGCTGCCGTTGTGTCCTTGGGCAAGACACTAACCCGCCTTGCCTGCTGGTGGTGGTCGGTGGCTCCTGTGTACAGCAGGCTCACCTCTGTCAGTGTGCCCCAAGGCAGCTGTGGCTACACTGTAGCTCATCACCACCAGTGTGCAAATATCTGAAGTGCCTT